TTTAAAAATATTTATTTATAAAAATTTTAAATAAAATTTATATATTAAAACATGATATTATTCTTATATATATTTTTTTTATTAACAAGGGAGCTTAAAAGTCCAACTATAAACTAGAATTTACGAGGAAAACAAATAACAGATCTATTAGCTAGTAATAAAAAGTGCGTCCAATTTGGCGGAGATTTAAAATAATGCACTCTTTTAGGGAGATTTAATCCTAACTTAGCAAAATCATCAACTACTTAATTTGTTTCTTGGAGGACATGAACACAATCTAATTCAAAAAATTCTCTTAACATCTAAACAATTTGGTTAAGAAGAGAGTAACATGTATATATTTGAGGACACTTATCATTTAAGAATTAAACATCAATAAAGGAATCAAATTTTTATTATAATGTGAGAATGTAAGAATTTATCCTTAATAATCCGTAGTCCATAAAAAATAACCTAAAGCTCGATTTGCACAACTGAACATATTATTCTTATATATAAATTATTATAAATTTAGTTATATATGATAAATATTTGACATGTGGATTATACATGCTAATATTTCAACCTACCCTAATTATTTGAGTTGAATGGTATGATGGAACTTATAAATTTGAGTTAATAAAAAATATACTAATTAAATGGGTGAATTTAAAAGAGAGAGAAGCATTTTGTACGATTCTCACCTTTCTGCATCGAGAATTGTGTCTGAGGATGCGAAAAAGGGAAATTGGATGAGCCACGTGTATGGTATTGATTGGATAGGATTACATAGGCGAGAAAAGCTCCATAGCAGCCGAAGGCATTATGCGCACAGAAATTGTAGTATATATATGTTATCATCGCCTATCTTAAACTTCATCTTCCTCTTCATCTCCCTGCATTTCCTTGCGTGTGTATGTGTGTATACGCTCTCGATTACGCACATACATACGTACACGGATACCAATATCTACCGAGTATTATTGTTCTTCTTCCTCCTTCGTACTTCGCAATTTGCTGAATCCCTAGCTGTTCTCTGATCCAATCATGGCCTCTCTAGTCAACAACGCTCACGGTGGCCTCAACGGTGCCATCGGAAACGCTGAAAAGCTCATTATCGATACCGATCCCGGAATCGGTTAGTTTCAATCCGCTCTGTTTTTAATCATTTCGTTTTTTGCTTTTCCCCTAAACTCCCTCGCCGCTTCAATTAATCCCTACCTAACATTTACGCTTTCGTTCCTCCGTTATATCAATGACTACAAAACTCACCACGATATTCAAATTTACTTGTGAATTTGAGTTTTAATTTGCAATATTTTAGATTAGAGATGTAGGATGAGATAGTTTTGATGAGAATTCGTTATATTATTAAGAACCAAGGGGTGGCCTAACTCAATCCCGTGATGCCAAAATTTAGACATCTCGACCATAAAGTTGGTACGATCGAAAGTTTACCTGTAATCTAATAATGACCCGATAATAGTCTTTTTTTTATTTTTACATAAAAAAGTTTAGCTGATGTTGGTTTTTTTACAGAAGGCTCTACCAAAGTTTATAAAAGTATTTATAAATTACTGACCAATTTGAACTCAAGTCCTTTCTAAATATGAGTGTGTTCCTTATCAATTCAATCAATCTTTATTGACCTACTTGATAATTGGTAATATAATAGATCTAATAAAAATTGTTAAAATAAAATTTGATATATCTTAAAAATGTGAGATTGAGTTTAATTCAACTTACTATCCACTTGTTGTCCTTTTTAATAAGATAAGGATGACCCTTACTTAACATATATGTTGATATCTGATTTTTTTTTTACCTTATTTTTTTTGTCTCCTGTACAAATATTAAGCAGAAAACATGTAACCAATTTGTAATTAAAAATGAAAGCAAGAAATGAAAACAGGATTATTTGAGCTCTCTCTGAGTCTTTAGGCTTTTACCGTCTTGAATTAGGTTGCCATTTCCTTTTTCTAAATTTTGAATTAAAAAAAGCGCGATTGAATCATGTGACTGTTACATGGACAGTGGATCTATGTGTCTGAAATCTATTTTTTGGTTGATTTGTATTTAGTGTGGCTGGTCATTTCATTAGTGTAATAGGAATGACATTTTTGTGGTTGTGCAGATGATAGCATGGCCATTTTGATGGCTTTTCAATGTCCAGAGGTGGAGATTCTGGGTTTGACATCCATCTTCGGTAATGCAACTACTGAAATTGCCACACGCAATGCTTTGCTCTTGGTATGTGTTTATTCTCAAAATTTCCATCGCTTTGGGCGGTGTATTTCTGTTCCCAAAATTTCCATGTCTTTCGTGTTTATGGAAAGGTGTTCTTGATTGTGTTTTTGATATGCAAAAAGGATAGTGTGAGATCGCTGGCCGTGAAAATGTTCCAGTTGCAGAGGGCAGCTCTGAGCCATTGAAGGTACCATTTTAATGTGTAGTTTTGAGCTTTTCTAATGTTGATTCGATCAAATTATGTTTTAATTGGTCATGGGCGTGAAAATGTTGAGACATGATCTGATTTCACTCCATTTTCTAGTAATAATTATGCTTTTTATTTTCTGCAAAAGGGTGGAACGCCTCGTGTTGCTGATTTTGTTCACGGTGAAGATGGACTGGGGAACACATTTCTGCCCCCACCTAATGCTAAGAAAATTGAGAAGAGTGCTAGTGAGTTTTTGGTTGAGAAGGTCTCAGAATATCCTGGTGAAGTAACTGTGCTAGCACTTGGACCACTAACGAATTTGGCTTTGGTAAGTTGTACATTGCTATCTAGTAACAGTGTATGGTCCTGCCTTTCGTAACTTCCAACTGTAGTTTGCCTACTTTTGTTGATCTGATACGTTTCAATTCCATTATTAGGCAATCAAAAGAGATTCTTCATTTGCAAGCAAAGTGAAGAGAATAGTTATACTTGGTGGGTCATTCTTTGCCTTGGGGAATGTGAATCCTGCTGCAGAAGCAAATGTAAGGGGTGATTTCTGTTTTGTATGTTTCCTGAAATAAGAAGAAAAAAATACAGGCTAATTTGCGTTCGAAAAAATATGCAGCAGAAAACTTGAATATCCAATACTGAGCTCCTAGACTTAGTGGCTTCGCCTCTCTTTTTTTTTTTTTTTTTTTCCGAAGATATTAAAATTATGTACAAGTACAACACTAATTTAGTTATCAACGAATGTAATTATTTAGTAATATTAATTTATCGGTTAAAAATTTGTAGAAGTGTTCTGAAAATAAACATTTCCTAATTTCCCATCATTTTCTTTACACACCAAGTAAAAAAGCTTGCAACTGCTAATAGTTGGTGAATAAGTTCCTAGTCCTTGATGTGATCCAACATTCTCTTTTTTCAAGAAGAGAAAGTCTCTTTTTGGCTTGTTGAAGGCTATACAATATCCATAACTCCAAACAATACTAGATTACACGGATATTATTTTAGGCTAATTTCATATCTCAATAATCTGATTTCATCTCGTATTGGTTCTAGTCCAAAATCCAAATGACCATTTTACTTGCAGATCCATGGAGACCCAGAAGCAGCAGATACCGTGTTTACCTCGGGGGCAAATATTGTTGTTGTTGGAATAAACATTACAACCCAAGTTAAATTCACAGGTGGGATTATAATAGCAGTTTGTTCCAACTTCCGGGCTATCCTGAGTTAGTTGCCTTTATTCTAGGTCTGGCCCATAAGTTGAACATTGTCATTTGATTTCAGATGCTGATCTCCTTGAACTGAAGGAATCTAAAGGAAAGTATGCTCCTCTCTTAAGTGACATGTGCAAATTCTATAGGGACTGGCATGTAAAATCTGACGGTGTCTATGGTAATTTTTCATTCTACTTTGCTGTCAAGTTATACTTCTACATCTTTAGTGAATTATTAAAGTTGCTATGGGAATGATGATTTTCAGGAGTTTTCCTCCACGATCCTGTCAGTTTTGTGGCAGTTGTACGTCCAGATCTTTTCACATACAAGAAGGGGGTAGTGAGGGTAGAGACACAAGGCATCAGTGTTGGGCATACACTTATGGACCAAGGATTGAAAAAGTTCGTCCAAATTTAAAACTACATAATTTACCCTTATTATTTTCTATTTTGATGATAATATTATATTGTTCTCAACATATTTGGATTCATTTATGCAGATGGAATACGAGCAACCCATGGACGGGTTATTCTCCTGTTTCAGTTGCTTGGACTGTGGATGTTGACGGAGTTCTTGATTATGTCAGGGAGCTGTTGATGAAACCCTGATTTGTAGGCATTTGTACTATCCTTCCAACAGATGTCAAAGCTTTGGAAAGTGATACAACAGGATAGCTTCTTAATTGCAAAATTATGTATAAGGTCATTTCCTTTAGTGCTGTCAATGTCAACAAGAACTGTGGGTATCAAGGGTTCGGAATGTTTGCCATTCCCACCTTCAACCCGATCTTACCCCGTTTAATATCAAAGAGCTCATAATGTACCAATGCAATTCTCTTTTCATGAAATGACTTGTGTTTGGATTTCGGTACTCTTCTTTTAAAAGAAAGCAGTCATTCTTTTACGATTCCTACTTAACTTGCATGCTGCTTCTCACAAGGGTATTATTGAATTTCGGTTTGAACATCGCGCTAAAGATTTCTTCGCTCGTTTGGCCAGAAAATTCATAATTCCATTACCGCCATCATTTTCATATGAATGCAGTTGTTTGGTTATGCAAGATTCCAAAAAATTTGACGAGTTGCATACGTTTGTTTATGAAGTCAACGTAATATTCGAATATGAGAATATACCTCGTAAAAAACAAAGAATATAAGCTGTTTCGGAATATAAAGTTTCTAGTCCCTGAAATTCATTTTAACAATAATCATTTCTTAAATTTCATGATATGTTACCAACCCCAAATATTAGTAATTTTTAATTTCTTATAATGTTATTTTCATATCATTTTCTCATGGAGTAAAGAATTATATAAGCAATTTCCCAAATATTAAAAATTAAGTAGTCTGTTAAATACATGGTCAATGAATTTTTTATGCCCCAGAAGAAATAATAAATGATGTCTTCATAAATTATTTAAATATTACAAAGGATTCCAATTCTCAAACTCAAACATGTAAACAATAAGCAATCATGTACGTATTTGTTAAAAAATAATGACTAAACATAAGTACGTTCTTAATTTATTTTTTAGATTCTTGTGAAGTAAGAGAGGTCACGATTTAGAGAATAAAAAGAGATAGAAAAATTGGAAACAAAGGAAAAATATATAGTTTTAGACAAACTTTATTTATAATTTTATGTTAACAAAGGTTCATGCTGAAACTAAAAAAAGAGAAAATAAATCAATAATATATCTCACTTTCATCTTTATATTTAATATTATCGATTGATTTTTCTAAAATTATGAGTAGGGTTTTATTGAAAATTAGAAAATCATCTATTAATTAATTAGTTTTTATAATTAATTTATGTTATTTAATATTTTTTATGTATAATTTAATGATGTAATTTTTTGTTTTTATATTTGTTTCGGTCACGAGGTGCACTAGGGTTTTTTCCTAGGTCAGACCTCAAAGCCAGAGCATTCAAGAGTGTAATCTGCCTTCTCAACTATGGGGTTTTTTCTTTTATAGTTTCTTGTTTACGGGCTTTATGGGCCCCGAGAATGTAGGGATTTCCTTAACCGTTTTGATCTGACTAATATTTGGTGAGGGACAGTGGGACCTTGCCCTTGCTATCGGGTAGTCCCTGTATGCGAGAGTTGTGTCGGCCCCCGACCGACCATACCCGTACTGAGGGTACAGTCGGGTATTGGCCGAGTTGGTTCTTGTAAGCGGAAGGAATCGAAAATATACCGACCAGGTTAAGTAGAGAAACCAAGTCGAATAATAACCGAACCACTCTTAGAGGGGTGATCGGCGAGAGCTACAGTCGGCCTGGCATATCGGCGAGAGCTACAGTCGGCCTGACATATCGGCGAGAGCTACAGTCGGCCTGACATACGTAGTAGGCAGGTCGGAATCCGACCTGGACCGTACACTAGCCCTCCAGCGCTGAGCCTATAAGGCGGAAGGGCTTTGCTAGACAGGGGGTCGGCTTAGCCATGGCCGACATGTCCCTCGTGGAGGCCCCTAGTCGGATTTCGTCCTGGACCGTACAATAGCCCTCCAGCCTTGAGCGTGCAAGGCGAGAAGGCTTATCCTCAGCCGATACATACAGTCAGATTCTTGTTGAGCACACTTTTATGGCTAAGGCAAGGGACAGACCAAGAAGATTCACAGACTCGTTATCTCAATTCGTGGCTCCTCGGGCTCTGGTAGGGGATGTGAGAAAATTCACCCAGTTAAAAAGCTTCAAATGGAGTAGTCGGTTAACTATCCGACTCAGTCACCTTGGGTCACCGAAATACCGAGTCGAAATTCACCAAAATCAAGTCGCCTAATTTCCGACTATAAATGATGAGAAATTTTTTTGTTACAATGAAATTCGACAATCCGATCGGCGAAATACCAACTCACAAAATGAGTGGAAAATTTTCCGAGTTAAAATGAATCCAACTAATAGCCCCCATGCCCACCATTCCGAGAGTGAAATAAAAAGATGTTCTTCTAGCTAAGATGTGGCGTTTTTGGCCGAGGTGTGGGACATGATAAGCCTACGGGTCAGACAAATGCCGATCTCCCTAGAATGATTTAGTATTTTGGGTGTTCTCTGATGAGTTTTGCTTCCCCCTAGTTCGGATTTTTACCGAGCGATCATGAATTTGTGTCTTCGAGTTATTTTATACTCGCCCAGTCAGATTTTTACCGATCAATCACGAGTTTGGTCTTCGAGTTATTTATACTCGCCCAGTCGGATTTTTACCGATCAATCACGAGTTTGGTCTTCGAGTTATTTATACTCGCCCAGTCGGATTTTTACCGATCAATCACGAGTTTGGTCTTCGAGTTATTTATACTCGCCCAGTCGGATTTTTACCGATCAATCACGAGTTTGGTCTTCGAGTTATTTATACTCGCCCAGTCGGATTTTTACCGATCAATCACGAGTTTGGTCTTCGAGTTATTTATACTCGCCCAGTCGGATTTTTACCGATCAATCACGAGTTTGGTCTTCGAGTTATTTATACTCGCCCAGTCGGATTTTTACCGATCAATCACGAGTTTGGTCTTCGAGTTATTTATACTCGCCCAGTCGGATTTTTACCGATCAATCACGAGTTTGGTCTTCGAGTTATTTATACTCGCCCAGTCGGATTTTTACCGATCAATCACGAGTTTGTCTTCGAGTTATTTATACTCGCCCAGCCGGACTTTTGCCGACAATCACGAGTTTGTGGTGCCTTCAAAATAACACATGTTAGAAATCATATAAGAAAAATAAGGGATGATGTTTATTAGGATTAAGGAATTATTGGTTTGTGGTGCCTCATTAAAAACCTTCTCAGCAAAAAACCTTTTCACATTTTTATATGGAATAAAAATCTCTTCGGATGACCCCAGCTTCTCGACTTTCAGCTTCCATTTTGTTGATTTGTCCCTCCTCCGTCTTGATGTGACTCAGGGCGAAAGCTCTCACCTCCGACATCGTTTGACAACTCGCTTTCTCTAGCGCGATATCGAAAGCTCCAGACCTTAAGCCCTTCTAGAACGCGATGACTGCCATCCTTTCATCCAAGGACGCTATCCTCAAGGCGACCTCATTGAACCTTTGCAGAAAGTCCTTCAACGACTCCTCCCGCTGCTATTTGAGATCGAACAAGTCCGACGTGATCGGTGGTTTCTTCTTGTTAGCGGCGAACTGTGTCATGAAGAGCCGACTAAAGACATCAAAGTCGATGATTGATCGGTCAGGGAGACCACTAAACCAATCCAGTGCTGCTTTTTTGAGTGTACCCATGAATAGTTTGCAGCGGACTTCCATACTTCCTCCACAAATCAACATTTGAGCGCG